ATTGTATTTTATTTTATGATTTTATTGTATTTATTGTATTTTATTTTGTGATTTTATTTTATTTTTTTTAAATGTATATGCCATCCTTCTCACGGCTACGCGACCCTGTGCTGCTCCTGTGGCCAAACGTCCCGTTTCAAAGCCCCTTGGGCCGTAAAGGCGATTCTCTCCTGGTAGTGGAGGACTTCAGCACTTGGGATCTTCGCCCGGGGAAGGCTTACCAAGGAGTAGGACGTTCTTCCCAGGCCTTTTGAAGGCCCCTTTTGGAGCTCAGCAGTTCTACCTGTATAACTCCTCTTCCTCTCCCTCCTGCCAGCGCCACGCTCCCCAAGACGAGGCCTTCTCCTCGCTGTTTTTCAAAGTCCTCATGCAGATGTTGCAGTGGCTGGAGAGCCCAGGGGTGGAAGATAGTCTTCTCCGGACGCAGCTCAAGTCCTTCGCGGTTCAGTTTTCATCCCAACATAGGATCAGCGACGGTAGGAAGAACATGGAAAGGATTTTGGGGCGGGGAGTAGCGGATAACTTTCCATTTAAATACTTTTGGTTGGCAACTCTTGAATCTTCCCTGTGGTCACTCTCCAGAGCCTCTCCAGGGACTACATTGACTACTTTTCTGTCTTCAGGCGGTACATTGACCTGACCCAGCGGGCTGCTTCACACAAAGGGGAAACCCACCCAAATCTGAATGAAGTTTTGGGTGTTTTGTGAATGCAGCCCTTAAATCTGGCTCTCTAAGGGACAGGGTCCATGCACCATCCTGAAACAGGAATAAGGTGGGAGACCAGAATCTGAAAGAGACCCAGTTGGCCAAGAGGGGAACAAACATCCTCGTCTGAGCCCTGTCTCAACAGTCTTGAGTCAGGCTCTCGGTTCAGACTCTGCATTTTATTCGTGTTCTACAGTGTTTCTCTCAACTTTGGCCAAATCAAGATCTGTGGACTTCCAACTCCCAGAATTCCCCAGCCAGCCAGGAGTTGGAAGTCCACACGAATTTAACAACTCTGAGCCTTTTTAGCAGGCATGGAACCAGGGGCCCTTGCCATGCGGAGCCCATCTTCCTTCCGTGCCCCTTCACAGCCCTTTCTTTTCTGTAACTACAGCCCAGGTGGGGTTCTTGCACCTGGCGGACGCGCTGGCCTTCTGCCACAACTCTGAAGTCATCGGCTCCACCGTCCGCGCCATCGTGAGCACCTTGAAGTCCAGCAAAAGGTGGAATGTGGATCCAGAGCTTGTCAGCAAAGGTAGGGTTGCCCCTCTCTTCCCATTTCTCCTGCCCTGCCTGTCCTTCTCCTTTTGAGTCTCAGAACCCTTTTGTTACTTCCCTTCCAGTCCTCGAAGGCCTGACCAAAACACGCTCGCCATATCTGGAGGAGCTGCTGGTGACCCTCTTCTCCGTGGCCACGGAGATGACGCCCCATTTCCCTACTTCTGGGCCCATCTCGGTGGTGACATCCCTACTGCTCCAGTGCAGACAGGAAAGCTGCCTTAAGAAAGAAGCCGAGAACTCCAGGTTGGGTTGACTCTTCTGGTTGGGTTCTTGGTCTTCAGTTCCTTCCTGTCTCCTCCGGGGACTTTGTTCCATCGTTCCACCTGCGGCTGTTTTCTCCCTTCAGTGTGGAAAGCGCCTCTGGTCTCTTCATCGACTGGTTGGAGTTGCTGGATCCAGAAGTTGTCAGCAGCTGCCCTGACCTCCAGCAGAAGCTGCTGTTCTCCCGGGATAAGGTGAGGATTGGTCTGGAACATCGGTCAACATCTGTTGAGAAATGGCCGTCCCTCAAGTGCAGGATGTGGGCTTCTTGCAATTTTGAGGATGTGTAAGCAGAATCTGCCTGGTCCAGACCACCATCTCTGGGAGCAGATGCTGCAGAAATCTGTCAAGAGATTAGTGTAGGCGGAGAAGAGGCAGATCCCGAGGGCGGAGTCAAGCAAGTCATCAGTTTAGAATCCTTAACTTTCTCACAAGCGAATGTCTTTTGGATCTGAAGCAAGTTGAGGAAGGTGTCAGGATTCCAGCAATCGCTCTAATTAAATCATGATTCTCGAGCCAAACTTCAAAAAACTTCCAAGGATTCGTTAGAGGTGACCTACTGGCCCTGCCCTGTATGAAGCCAACTCTGGCCTACGTCATTTACGGTCCCCTGTGACCCTGTTTCCCCCCTCCCCGCCGGGTGCCTCACAAACCAGATTCTCCAGTTGAGCACGTTCACAGGCTGGGTGTCATCTTTCACGTTCTCCAATTCAATATGTTTGCGGGCAAAAGCTCCGGGAGTTTAGCTACAGTCTTTTAAAGAGAAGAGTTGGAATGTACTTTCGCTTTCAGCTGCTCTTCCAAGAGTTCCTTCCTCCCCCCACTTTTTTACGGCAACTGCTAAAACAGGCCTAGGAATGTTTTATGAGTTGACAGAAGGAAGAACTGGGCAGCCCGATGCAGATTCTTTTCAGAAAACATAGAAAGAAACTTGGTTCCACGCATGGACCCAGAACTGAAGGTGCAGGAACCATTTGGGGTGTTGAATTGGGATCCGTTCCAGAGATGGGATCTTTGCTTTGCCCGATGGACGCTTCTGCTGGCTTGTCGGTGCCCCTTTTCTAGCCTTTCCTTTTCCCTCCGCAGGGTAAAGATTCCTCTGAATCGGAGCCCCTCTCCTTCCGTCCGTACCTTCTGGCGCTCCTGACGCACCAGTCCAGCTGGACCACGCTTCACTGTTGCATCAGGACTCTGCTCTGCAGAAGCCAAGAGTGCAGGTAAGGCTGCCAGGATCGCCCCTGTGTAGAGGACCCGGCCAATAATCCACAGTCTGATCCAGTGAGCTGGTAGAAAGTTCTACTTGGTAGAAGAAGCCGGCATTCGCTCTATGGTGGAACCGTCAAGAAGGGCCTTGTTGCAGGTTGGAAAGCGGGCGGTTTCTGAACATTCTTCTATTTCATCGTCCAAGTTGGCCTTTGATTCCCCAAAGTCGTGAGAAAACTCTTGTGTGTGTGTTGCTGCCTCAGCTTTGGTGATTTACAACCCCGTGGCAGGCATGACTTTAGGCCACAATCCTTGCCTTAACCCTGAAGGTGCCAGCAGATCTTCGATTGTTTTCTCCAACTTAGCTACGGCTGGTCTTTTGGAAAGACAGGTTAACAAGAGGGTGAGGGAGAGAGCAAACAGGCGGATGTGGATTTCATGGGTGGGATTGGGTTTCCGCCAACCCAGCTCCCCTTCCGTGGTTTTCTTAAACAAGAACAGAGTCGGAAGGGGTCTAGGAAGTCTTCTAGTGCAACTCCAAATAGGTAACATTTCACACAAATGGCTGCCCAGCCTCTTCCTGAAAACCTCCAGTGTTGAATCACCCGCAACGTCTGAAGGGAAGCAGTTCCACTGGTTTATTGTTCTCACTTTGAGTAAATTCCTCCTTAGTTCTAGGTTGCTTCTCTCCTTGATTAGTTTCTATCCGTTGCTTCTTGTGTTGCCTTCAGGTGCTTTGAGGAATAGCTTGACCGCCGTCTTATTTGGGGCAGCCCCTCAAATATTGAAAGTCTGCTGTCTTATCACCCCAGTCCATCTTTTCATTAAACTAGACATACCCAGTTCCTGCAACCGTTCTTTATATGTTTTAGCCTCCAGCCCGCTAATTGTGTTTGTCGCTTTTCTCTGCGCTTTTTCCTGAGTCTCAACATCTTTTCTTATATTGTGGAGACCAAAACTGGATGCTGTATTCCAAGTGTGGCCATACCAAGGCGTTATAAAGCAGTAGAATCACTTCCCATGATCTTGATTCTATCCTTCCTCCATGCAGCTTAGGATGGCGTTGGGCTTTTTGTCAGCTGCAGCACACCGCTGGCTCATGTTCTGGTTTAGAAAACAGCCTCCCAAGCGAAAGGCGGTGCAGTGCGCGGTTGGGTCTGGGAAGTGAGACTTGGGCAAAAGAGACCATTGTTTAATGAGCAGCCCTTTTGGGTGCTGGATCCTCACGTTGATCTCTCCAAACAGTTTTGACCCAACGGCTTCCTTGGATTTCTTGTGGGCCTGCATTCATATGCCCCGGATCTGGCAAGGGAGAGACCAAAGGATCCCACAGGTACGTGTGTGCGCCTGTAAACACCGTAAGTGACGAAACGGGCCTATTAGTTGGCCTGCAAAGCCTGCAGAGGCTTTTTTCAACCCTCCGGGAGGCCGAAAAAGGCCTCAAACCAGCTGAAAATCAGCTGTGAGGCGCAGTGCAGGTAAGAGGGCGGTGGAGGGGGGATTGCGCACGCATGCGCGGGGTGTGTGGGGGGGGCGCATTGCCTTCTGGGTGCTGGCGTGCTGGAGAATTCTGGGAGTTGAAGTCCACAAGTCTTAAAAGTGGCCAAGTTTGGGGACCCCCGCCCTACTTTTTAAAGACCCGGATCCAGTTCGTTGACTTTGTTTTGGTCCGAACGGAGTCTTCATTGGATCCGTTTGGATCTTCCGCACCGATCCGGCCTGATCCGTCCCTTCTGGCCGCGGGGTAGAAACGCCGAGAAGAGTTCGTGCTGCGCCTGAAGAGCCCCGAACTGCTGAGCTTGGTGGAGCTCATCCTGGCGGAATCGGAAAGCCGGTCCACGAACCCCAAGGAGACCGGCTGCTCCGTCACCCAGTCCCGGCTGCCGCTGCTCCTGAGTTGCTGCCATGGGAACACGCAGAGGATCCAGAAAGTCACCGAGCACCTGATCTCCTCCATCCAGAAGTGGGGAAAGAGGTGGGCCTGCCTTGAAGGGAGACCCCATAAGTAAAAAAAGGGGAGTGGGCTCTTTCGACTGGCGTGTCGGGAGACCAGAACAGGAAATCCTTCCTGCGGAAGGTTGGCCACTTTTGAGATGGGCAACAGTAAGTGAGTCTTGCAAGTCTGATTGAGCTGAATCTCCTCCTCCTCCTCCTCCTCCCCTTCCTCCTCCCCCTCCCCCTGCCCTCTCCT